CAGTAAGGCTCAGAGCCGTGCCGAACACTGTATAGTGCAGAGAGTAGCTTGAAGGAACAGGAAGCATTATTATTTCAGTGCTGCGATGAACCTTGTGAAGCTAGCTGGCTTGCAGGATATGAAGACTGCAGACGATATCTGCTCGAGAGCGAATGGGTGGGGTATTTTATGACGATGATGAAGCTTGAAGTTTCCAAAGGTTGTTGGTTGCGTATTCAAATCACGTCGCGGTCACCACTGTGGCCGTGGAAGGAAAATGGGAGATCTCCCGCCGGGCAAGGTGTTCTGCCCGGGGGAGCGGCCAACACTCCGAGTGATAGTTCGGAGAAGTTCTATATATACTGTTTATGATTCGGAATGTTGATAGCGCGATTTAGGCTTCGGTGTGTTTACGCTTGTGGCGCGACGACGGCGCCGCTACATCACCCCCCTGCTCAGACCGGAGGTCGATAGTGCGGCCTCGTTGCCGACGAATGTACAAGTGCCAGGAGATTGCCTTGTCTGCGGTGAGTCGAGAAGAAGACAAGTAATCTGCGAGAGTGCCGTGAAGCAGAGGCGAGCAGTAAGGCTCAGAGCCGTGCCGAACACTGTATAGTGCAGAGAGTAGCTTGAAGGAACAGGAAGCATTATTATTTCAGTGCTGCGATGAACCTTGTGAAGCTAGCTGGCTTGCAGGATATGAAGACTGCAGACGATATCTGCTCGAGAACGAATGGGTGGGGTATTTTATGACGATGATGAAGCTTGAAGTTTCCAAAGGTTGTTGGTTGCGTATTCAAATCACGTCGCGGTCACCACTGTGGCCGTGGAAGGAAAATGGGAGATCTCCCGCCGGGCAAGGTGTTCTGCCCGGGGGAGCGGCCAACACTCCGAGTGATAGTTCGGAGAAGTTCTATATATACTGTTTATGATTCGGAATGTTAATAGCGCGATTTAGGCTTCGGTGTGTTTTCGCTTGTGGCGCGACAACAGCGCCGCTACACCTGCATATATGTTATTCTTATATTTTCGGAGTTTATAACCCATGTTGGCCTTACAAATACACAAAGTTTCTATTGTTGACGCTCATGTGCTATGTTAGTCTTTTACTTAACAATTTCTCAAAAAGTTTTCAGATTACATTTATAAGACCAATAGGGCGATAAGAGGAAGGATCGGAGTAGTCTGATTTATAAAATTTGGGAGGTATGATGGCATGTGCAATTTTCCATTGCTTTGGAAAGTAGGATATTTCAAAACATCGGTTTAGTAGTTTATCTGTGGCGGTTTTTATATATTGTTGTGAATGCGAAGCAAATATCCGCGGTTAGATGGTTGGATCCTGGAGCTTTATTCGGACTGATTGTTTTGAGACAGTCGATTACTTCTTCTTCTGTAAAGAAACGATCATCTGAGGTATTTTGTTCATAATACACACTTTGTCTAAGTAGCTTTTGTTTTTCCGTGTCATCTTCTGTGTCATTAGGATAAAACTTATTTAGGAGAACATAAGCCGTTTCTTTAGATGTTGTGGTGAAGTTTGCTGGAGTTACTCGGATTGTAGATGGAAGCACAGGTTGTGGAGAATTCTTTAAAAGCCTATTTGTTAACGACCAGACATCTTCTTTGCCTTGTTTGTTACGAAATTCCTTAAAATGCTCTGTGGATGCTTTCCTAATATCGTCCAAATATTCTTGTTTTAATTGTTTTCTTTCCAGTAATACACGGTATAGTGGTTTCCGGCTACGCTTCATTGCTTGGATTATGTGATGCAGTTTAATTACGCCAAGGTTAAGTGTTTCTAGTTCAGAATTCCACCATGGAATATATGTTTTAGGTATTCCTTTATGTTTAAATACTTTTGTTATGTCCTTAACGTAATTATCTATGTCCTGTACGTTGAAAAGTTCTATGTTTTTAGTTGTTAACTGTTCCTTTTCCATTGCCATTTTTATCTAATTACAAAATGTGGACCAATCAGCATTTTTGTTGCTGTATCTGTAAGTCGTGAATTTCTTTTTTCGATGTAACGTGTCAATATTAAGTTTTAAAAGGAAGTCTATAGCATTATGTTCCGATGAGGGGCATGTATTCATATTTACCTGCCATCCATCTATTTTATTTGATATATTTGCTGATGCCATTGTCAAATCTATAAATGAACTTCGGCTTGCCCCATGGGTCACTGTCTCAAAAGTTGGAAATTCACCGTCATTGAAGACTATAAGAAAATTTTGACATAATTATATCGTGCACGTTACGACCCTTATGATTAGAAATATTGGAGCCCCAAGCAGTATTCCATCCATTAGAATCACCTCCAATTATAATACCCTTAAGAAAAAGTTCCAAGTGATTAAATGTGTTGTTCATATCATTAATAGGTTCTACGTAAACGCTGATGAGGAATTACTGATATTTAGTATTAAGAAGTTGCACTACACACATGTTAGCTGTTGAGAATTTACGTATACCTAAAATTGAACCAAGGTTCGTCCTGACGATGATGCATGCTTTTACACGTTCATTGTTTGTAAATTTATATATTCATATCCCTGAATATTTTTAACAATATTGAGATTGCCTATGTAAGGTTCAGATATGAGCCCTATATCATAGTTGTTGTTCATAAAGTAATTAATAAATTCATGGTGGCTAACATAACTTTTGTCAAGGTTAATTTGAATTATTTTAAGCGTTTCTGAATTGGGTGGATGCGATTTTTTTCGTTAGAGGTAAAGGCGTAGTATATCTATTGTCCATAATCAGTCTGTTCGTCGATTTTATTTTTAAGATTTTTAATTCGAGGGAACAGTTTAGCGTTTGTCGCTATATGATTTGTGTCGATTTTGCAATTGCTTTTAATGTTAAAGTTGTGAGAATTGAAACGCTTCCGTTTATTTTCTGTTTCCTTAAAGAGGCAAGAAGTGATGTTATGTTCTTCAGAAGCACACTGTGCACAGCGGTTGGTTTCTGAAGTGCACTTATTTTTCGTATGGCCGAACAGTAAACACTTATAGCACTGTACGAATCGGTAATATGGCTCTATATGCAATCCCTGGTGGTCAATTACAATGCGTCCAATATGAATAACACTCTTGTGTAATTCCGGTTTCGCTTCGAAAACAGCGTTGTATAGGTTTTCGTTTCTATTTGAAGTAGCAAAGCAGAGACGAATGTTGTCTTTGGGTAGAGTTTTGATGTTCAATTATATCAATTAACTCGTTCTTTTCTATGTCTTTTGATATGCCTTTTAATATTACTAATGGTGGACGTCTTTTACTTTCTTCTGCTTGCAATCCCTCTATTTTATTGATACGTGCTATAGTTTCTTGACTCTATGACTTTGTATAAAATTTTATTCTTACTTTCCGGTTAAATCCTGTTTGTACTTTAGCTGGTGCGTAAGTTTCCTTCTTGAAGGATACACTTTTCCTTCACATAATTAGCACTTCTTGTGGCTTAGTGTTGGGATCTGTCGATTGTATTATTATCGATGGCTTATATGTTTTTAATTTATGATTCAACTCGGCTGGGCAGCGTTCGGGAAATTACGACACATCTTCTCGTCGAGTACACCTAAATCTCTGAAAACTAAAGTGTATAACCAGTGCGTTTTGCCAGTGATGACTTACGGGTCTGAGACGTGGTCACCGTCACCGCTGGCCGTATGAGGACGCTTAAGGTCGCTCAGCGAGCTATAGAGAGAGCTATGCTCGGAGTTTTTCTGCGTGATAGACTCAGAAATGAGGATATCCGCAATAAAACCAGAGTGACCGACATAGCCCAACGGATTAGTAACCTGAAGTGGCAATGGGCCGGCCACCCTACGCGTTCCCGCCTTGTCGTGGCGCGGGGCTTAGTAGCCGTGGCTTGGTCGCCCGCGGTGAACAAAGAGGAACCCACGTGGCTGGCCCGAGGGGAAGGGCCGGCCCGAGGTGGCCACTACAAGTGGGCTTGGGAAGCCCACTTCGGATGTGCGTTGGTGGACTGCGGTGAGAGGTGTATCCTCACCACCTACCGCTGCAGCCGAGGTGGAGTCGTGGAGGAAGAGGAGTGTTGGTATGGCGATGCGCCACTCGCCCTATCCTCCGCGACTCAAACGGGGCCGCACCGTTGATGCGGTGGTGGTGGGGCTGCGGGGGGAGAGGATTGTCGGTATTGCGAGGCGCCGCTCTCCCTACCCTCCGCAGCCGAATCTTGGTTGGCGGCGGAGCCATAGACCAGATCCGCCGCTGGGGTCGGGAAGGCTAGTACTTCTAAGTGCTGGTTTTTCCAGGCCCCATGGCCTTCGTGCATTGGACGCGGGGGGCGTCTGTTGCGTCGATGTAATTGTAGGCCGTGGAGGAAGGCGCGCCATGTGTTCTGGTGCGCCTTACTTGGGAAGGAGAACGGGGAGGAATATTCCTCTCCCGAGGAGGTGCTGCCATGGGGCGGCAGTCGCTGGTAGGGCCGCGGAAATGTGCGAAAGCGTTCCCGTAGCCCTGCCAATATGCGACGAAGGTGGAACACCATGGGGTTTTAGTCGGTGCGAGTCCGACATAAGCCGTCCTTGCCCGGCTGGCGGCAGGCGGGTATGCGTAGGCATTTCCCCGTGTTAAAAAAAAAGGTTAGGTTAGGTTAGGTTAGGTTAGGTTAGGTTAGGTAAGGTTAGGTTAGGTTAGGTTAGGTTAGGTTTTTTTTTTTTCTATGTTAACTACTGCTATTCTGCAGTACCTTTCTTTTATGTTATGCTAAGTATCATTTTTACTAAGTTTTTTTTTTGTCGCACGTATCGCTATACTTTCTTTCCTACTTCAATTGTTTACGTACTTTCTATCTTCTTGAGGAAGCATAATTACACTGCAATATTTACGTACTTTATGACGCTAACACTTACTATACTATATTATACTATATGTTTCTTTTTATTTATATTATATTTATATGCATATATTATACAGTTTGACGCTTTTAACTTCTATGGCGATGGTTTGTTAGTAACAATATTTTCAATGATATCTTACATACAAGTGTTTGTTTTTAATGGTAGATTTACATTATTTATTTTTTTTATTATGTTTTTTTTTGTCTTTCTGCTTACTCTTTTCTTTTCCCTTTTTTTTCTTTATATATTTTTTTCACTTACGCTTTTTTTTTCTTTTATGCGTTTACATCAATTGTGTCTTATAATCAACTATAGGTTAGGTTAGGTTAGGTTAGGTTAGGTTTTTTTTTTTATACGCTTTTTTCCCGATCATGGGATCATCGGGTCCTTATTAATCTATATTACTCATACATTCCAGTTCTCGCATGTATTCGCACTTTCAGGCCGCATACTTATTCTTTCTTTTATTCATCCACGCTCATTCTTTGCCGGGTGGGACTCCCGCTACTCTATGCCTACTATTTCTTTTGTTTGGGAAAATAAAGTTTCATATATTTTATTTATTTTCTGTTATATCCTCGATGGTATTTACACTTTACATATACTATTTAAGCTTTCCAATTACTACACTACATACTACATACTTATTTTTATTTAACTTGCAAATTTACTTATTTTACATATTTATTGGCTTACAGCTACTGTACTTATCATTACTTCTTAATTCCTACGGTTACTATTTCTTAGTTCTATTTTAACATTTATAAGTCTAACATCAATATATACCTACTATTTTCTATCATCTTATTTCTAACATTTTTCATTGCTTTTTCTTGATTCTAATCTTATATTTATTATCTAAATAGCAGTAAAAACTTATGTCTATTTATTTTTAACATTTGCAATTAACAATTTCACAGGCCTTAACAGTTATGCACGTATCAGGATTGGTGAATTTCTATCATGTGTCTGATTTTCTACTTACTTCTATGTTTTAATCAAGCTTGTCCTAGGCAATAATATATATATATATATATATATATATATATATATATATATATATATATATATATATATTGTCCATTTCTTTTTGCTAGTTTTTATTTCATGCAATTTTTCTTTTGTGTTGTGTTAGTGTTTGTGATTCATGTAAGTGTTACTGTGCTGATATAATCGTGTATATTTTATTATACATTCTGTATATCAGTTGTGTTCATTTCGTCGTGTATTTCATGTTTGTGTGTGTCGTGTTTATGTTCTTGTGTGCTTTGTGGCTGTTTGTACATGTAGTGTAATTTGACGTAAATGTTTCAGGCATAGGCCGTGTTTGCACGAGCCAGGTAGTCCCACTTTTTCCGTACGGGGCAGTCTGAACTAAATGCATTATGGTCGGTCCTCCGCAACCCAGAGTGTGAGCAGTTGCAGCACTGTGGTTCATTCCCAGCGGAAAAGTCTGCGCATCCTCGCGGAGATGCGGTCCTCCACAGTGGCTACATTTGTCCACACTCTCGGTGCAAAACTTCCGACCATGTCCAAACGCAAGGCATCTCGTGCATTGGATGAGCTGGTCCTCGACTCTGACCCTTTGAAGGTCCAGATAGAGGGCTCCAGCCTCCGTCATCCTCTGCCATACTTTAGGCTTCACCTGAAGAATGATGTGAACTGTCTTCTGGTTTCTTGTCCGTTTTTTAAATTTTATTGCCATTTCCATGTCATCTTCAGTTAGGCCAAGGAAAACGTCTTTGTTTTGAGCGTAGAGCGCCTTTATTATATCTTCGTCTTCACTGTCCATAAAGACATCTTTCAGGATGACGAGAGGATCCTTATTTTTTATATGCGCTACTTTTAGTCCATCCCCGCGACTCTCTATTATTTTTTGGACTTTCATCATCTCCTCTTCAGTGTCGCAGCCCAATATAATTTTTTGATTCTTGGCCTTGCGAACCTTGTTAATTTTAAGGCCAGTACCTCTGGCGTCGACCGCTTTTTTCACCCTGGCGAGCACCTCGTCAGCAGTCTCCTGACCATCTTCGAGGGTGACCGCCATTGAGTGAAGTGCAGGGCGGTGAACTGGTTTGGCTG